ATCTCAAATGGCCCGACATACCTAGGACTCAGTTTTCCCTTCTTGCCGAATCTAGATAATCCCTTCATAGGCGACACCTTAAGAAACACGTGATCTCCAACCTAAAACTCTAAAGGTCGTCGTCTTCAATCGGCATAACTTTTCTGGCGACTTTGCGCCGTTCTGAGTCTGTCTCGAATGACCTCAACTGCCTCAACGGTTTACTGTATCAACTCTGGACCCGTGATACTCCGTTCACCCACTTCATTCTAACACACTGGCGTCCTGCACGCCCTACCATATAAGGCCTCAAACGGTGCCATCTGAATGCTCTGCTGATAGCTATTATTATAGGCAAACTCCACCAAGTGTAACTGCTCCTCCCATTTGCCTTGGAAATCTATTACACAAGCTCTCAGCATATCCTCCAAGGTTTGAATGGTCCTTTCAGACTGGCCATCTGTCTGTGGATGGTATGCCGTACTGAACTGTAACTTCGTTCCTAAGGCCGTTTGCAAACTTTTTCAAAAGTTGGCCGTAAATCTCGGATCACGGTCCGAAGTGATCGTTATTTGTACTCCATGCAACCTCACAATCTGCCTCACATACAAGTCTGCGTATCTATCCAACTCAAAGTCCTTTCGCACAGCCAGAAAGTGCGCTGATTTAGTCAGTCTATCCACTATTACCCGTTTGAATCATGTCCTTTCGGCTTCTTGGCGATCCGTCACGAAATCCATTGTAATATATTCCCATTTCCACTCGGGATTTCTAATGGTCTCAATAATCCTCCAGGCTTACAATGCTGTGCCTTCACTTGTTGACACGTCAAACACTTAGCTACATGCCTGGCCACATCTACTTTCATCCCATTCCACCAATAGTGTTGTCTCAAATTCTGGTACATTTTCGTACTCCCCGGGTGGATACTGTAATTGCTCCTATGAGCTTCCGATAAGATTTCTTCCGTAAGTTTTATATCATCCGGCACACACAATCGCCCTCTAAACTTCAAAACTCCATCCTCGGACACTTGAAAGTCCGGTTTCCTCTTAACTGCATCCATCTCAATAATCTTTTGGATTTCTAGGTCCGTAGACTGTAGTTCCTTAATCTTGACCTGAATTTCTGGCTCAATCCTCAAGGCGGCCAGTAAATTCGATACTCGACTCATCTCGAACTTAAACTCGGAATCCCTAAGTCTTTCCAACAAAGTCCACTCCCTGACCATTAAATGCGCCAAACTAGACTTTCGACTCAAAGCATCTGCCACTCGATTGGCTTTCCCAGGGTGATACAGAATGTCGCAATCATAATCCTTTAGAAGCTCCATCCATCGGCGCTGCCTCATGTTCAACTCTTTTTGCGAAAATAGGTACTTGAGGCTTTGATGATCAGTATAAAATCTGGAATTTCTCTCCACACAAGTAGTGCCTCCAGATCTTAAGTGCAAACACGATAGCAGCTAATTCCAAATCATGCGTCGGGTAATTCATCTCATGCGGCCTCAACTGACGTGACGCATATGCCACCACTTTTCCATGTTGCATCAGCACACAGCCCAATCCTTTTAGCGAAGCATCGCTATAAATCTCGAATCCTCCTAGGCCCGACGGAATGGTCAATACAGGGGCAGTCATTAACCGGTGTTTCAATTCCTGAAAACTCCTTTCACACTTGTCATCCCATTCAAACTTCACCTCCTTCTTAAGCAGCCTTGTCATTGGCGTGGCTATCGATGAAAATCCTTCTACGAATCGCTTGTAATAGCCAGCCAATCCGAGAAAACTTCGAATCTCCGTTACTGATGTCGGTCTAGGCCACTTGGTAACTGCTTCAATCTTAGCTGGGTCTACAGAGATTCCATCCCCAGAAACGTTATGTCCAAGGAATCCCACTCTATTGAGCCAAAACTCACACTTGCTGAACTTGGCATACAATGCATGCTCTCTCAAGGTTCGTAGCACTTTAGTCAAGTGTACCTCATGTTCCTCGGGGCTCTTAGAGTACACTAGTATATCATCAATAAAAACTATCACAAACTGATCTAGAAATTCCTTGAACACTCGATTCATCAAGTCCATGAAAGCGGCTGGGGCATTCGTTAATCCGAAGGGCATAACCGTAAACTCATAATGCCCGTATCTAGTTCTGAAAGCAGTCTTGGGAATGTCCTCATTTCTGATCCTTAGCTGATGGTACCCGGTCCTCAAATCTATTTTGGAAAACACTAAGGCTCCTTGCAACTGATCAAACAGATCATCAATCCTTGGCAGTGGGTACTTATTCTTTACTGTCACTTGGTTCAGCTGCCGGTAATCTATACACAATCTCAGAGTTCCATCTTTCTTCTTGACAAACAGGACCGGCGCTCCCCATGGAGACTCATTAGGGCGAATAAAGCCTTTGTCCAGTAGTTTCTGTATCTGGACCTTTAACTCTTTCAATTCTGATAAAGACATCCTATACGGCGCTTTCGAAATCGGTTCCGTCCCTGGCGCCAATTCAATCACAAACTCCACTTCTCGCTCAGGCGGCAAACCCGGCAATTCCTGAGGAAACACCTCAGGAAAATTGCTTACTACGGGTATATCTTCCAACTTAGGTTCCACCACTGTTGTATCCACGACATTTACCAAATATCCTTCACACCCTTCATCCAACAGCTTATTCAACTCAAGCGAGGAAATCCAAGGGATCGAGGTTCCTCCTCGGTTTCCCTGAAATACAAAACTAGGGCGTCCTTCCGGATTAAATTGGATCGTCCTATCGCTGCAATCCACTACAGCTTTCTGTCGGACTAACCAGTCCATCCCAATAATCACATCAAAATCGAACATGGCTAATACTGCCAAGTCGATACTCTCTTCCTTACCCCCAATAATTATCTTACAGTTAGGGCATCCAAAAGAAACTAGCAACCTATCATTCACAGGTGTCGACACGCAAAGCACATGCCCAAGTAGCACTGGTTTCATACCAACCAACTCAATAAATTGCTCTAAAACAAACGAATGGATTGCCCCCGGATCAAACAATGCATACGCGGCATGATCACACAAGAAAATCGTACCTATGACCACGCCTAGCGCATTCTCAGCTTCCTTGCGCGCCATGGCATAGACCCTTCCTTGAGCTGGCGGTCGCCCTTGATTAGCCGGTGGGGGAGGTCCGGCTTGATTTCCAGCTCATGGTGGCGGTACTCTGGACGGTCCTAATAGTTGCATCTGCGGGCAAGTACGAATCTGATGCTCCATACTCCCGCACTTAAAACACGCCCCATATCTACCCAACTGGGGACTCGGTTTCCCAATGTTCCGTCTGGCTGGCGGGACAAATCGCCTATTTCCAGTCATAGGCCTCTTTCCCAAACGGCGATTATCCCTATTTTGAGCAAACCGCGATCCTGAAGCGGTTGCCCTATCCTGCTGATCTCGTTCCATGATCTGAGCTCGCCTATGCATTTCCCCATAGTCTTTAATATCGTGGGACAAAATCAAACTTCGAAGATCCGACTTCAATCCATCCCGGAATCTTCGCGCTCTATCCCTCGGATTCTCCACCATGGTCGGTGCAAACTTAGCTAATCTTGCAAATTCGGCCTCATACTGATCCACAGTCATTTGTCCCTGGCGTAAGCGCATAAATTCCATCGACTTCTTTTCTTGCGCATTTTCCGAGAAATATTTTTCATAAAAGTTTTCCACAAACACAGCCCAAGTCGGGGCCGTTCCTACCGGAAACACTCTACCTCCCACGGCATTCCACCAATCATTTGCACCCTCTTGAAGCTGGTAAACTGCCAATGTCACCTTCTCCTCATCGGTGCACCCCAGAACTTTGAAGGTTTTCTCCAGTTCTTCTACCCACCTTGGTGCAGTCTCGGGGTCACCGCGATCATGAAATTTAGGCGGCTTCAATTTCATAAACTGTTCTACTAACTGGGGCATCTGCCTAACCCCGGCTGGCTGAGCCTGTCCCATATTAGCTTGATTTTCATTTACCGCAGTAGCAACTACAGTCTCAGCGGCCTGGGCGGCTACATTATCTCGCCCTTGAGCTTGCCTATCCAGCACATTCCCGAGTCTTTCTAATACCCGTAGAACTCCTTCCATACGTGGATTTTCCACCGGTCTAACATCAACTCGAGGGTCTACTGCAGCTCCCACATTAACCCCAAGGTTCTCTACTGCTCTATCTCGAGAACGACCTCCACCTCCGGTTCCTCTTCCTGCACCCCTTTTGGGAACTCTTCCTATACCTCTCTCATCGCTACTCATCTTAGCTACTCGATTTTACAACTACCTATTATAATTCCACGAAGGAATTAAAGACTTAAACCAATCTATCCCAGTCTAAGTCCTAGGCAGGTATTAAACATCAATTAAACAATCAGCATGCGGCTTAATGAAAACTAGCCAACTCCTCACCCAAGGGATTCACATACTCACCTCGGGTCCTACCGCACCTGCACTTCAGGTCACACAATCACAATTCAAACACAATCACAAGCTGTCGGGAGATACATGTAGCACATGAGGTCACCCTACATGCTACCCAGGGTCTCATCGCTCCTTATCACTCCAGGTTTCGACCTAATTGGACCGAGCTGACCTTGCTCTGATACCAAATCAAACGGGGATGTCACGCCCCGTACCCCACGAAGCGCGAGCATCCCACCTTCGGTCGTTTGACTGCGACGTCCCAGGAAGCGTCACCGACCCACACCCATACAGAGATCAAACACAAGCGAAAGCATAAAATAAACAAACCCAGACAACTACAATATGAGCCAAGGATAGCCATACATCAAACACCATCGTAGAAAATAATTACACATTTATATTGCTATTAAAAATCATTTGTACAATATTTACAAGTACAAACAAAAGGTACACACGATCAGTAGCCACTTTGTCAAAAAATGGTAAGCGGCTAGGGAGGTTAGGCTAAAACTTGGGAAGAGGGCTACAGTCCAAAAAGTAGTGGCCCTCACTACTAGCTAAGGACATGGGACGACTCTATGGCTCCCAGTCAGGATCAAACGACTCACCAGAATCATCTAACAGCTCCTCGGAGGCATCCTTGCTAGTCCCTGACTCATCTGAATCCATAGCCTGAGCTCGCTCGTCCTCGGAGTCCAGCTCCAACTCCGGGTCCAGGTAAATCTCGAACCCCTCCTCGTCTAATCCCAGCTCTGCAACCTCTCCGTCCTGCTCCATGGCCTCGGGTTCGTCATCCTCCTCCTCATCCATAGGCTCGGGGTCCTCCACTAGTACATCGGGCTCCTCATCCATCTCTTCCTCCTGCCTCATCCACTCGGGCGTGACCTCAGGGTTTATCACCTCACCATCAGCTATAATTGGGTGTAACAACCCAACACCATCGACCGGGATATCAAAGATCCTGAGGGGCTCTCCCTCATTTCCATTGGCATTCCGGTGGCACCACGCCACGTACTCCTGCTTCTGGTAAAAATACTCGCCTATATTCACAATTAGTGTGACATTCCGAATTTCGGCCCATTTTTGGGATTTATAAAACGTGTAATTCGTCAGTGTGCTTATAGTAAAATCTCGCCCGGGAACTGATCACTCTCGGTTATTTTATTTTTAAATTAGAGATTTCGCTAGAAACGCACTCGATCGAATTTGGCCGTTAATTAGAGCCCAAACTTTGGTGTCGAATATCTCGGAGTTCCAGGACGAATTTAATTGGACGGTGTCGATACTATTGAGGCCAGCCTCGAGATTGCCCGGAATATGTGAAAAGTGGATTTTTGACCGGGTGCGAATTTGGACTAGTAGACCTCCCTCGGGGTAGTTTGATTTAATTAATTTGACCTTTGTCCCTTATTATATTCTAGGATTAATTTGGACCGCTAGAGCGTTTTCAATTTTAAATGTGGGCCGTTGAATCGCAATAATTATTTGAATGAACATTTATTTCTCTCTCTCCCCGGTCACCTTTTTCCCCTGCGCACGCTGCCCCCCTTTGCGTCTGACACCACCAGCTACCATCATTTCCTCTCTTCTTCTTTTTCTTTTCTTTTCTTCTTTTCCATTCTTTTCTTCCCTTCTTCTTCTCCTTCGCTGGCTTGCTCCCGACGCCGCTGCTTCTTGCTTCTACTCCTGCTTGCTGCTCGCTCGACCACACCTTGCCAGCAACCAGCCCAGCCACCGCCGCCCACCGCCGCTCCAGCCACCGTCGACATCGCCACCGCCACCACCACCCCTCGGTCGTTTCCCCTCCGCCGTGAGCTCTCTCTCCCCCTCTGTTCCAGATCTCGCTTCCTGACCCCTTCCGTCGCGCGTCGTCCGCCGTCGCCGGAGTTTCTGCTGTCCCGACGATGTTGCTACTTCTGTTCCGTCCAACTCGTCGCCGCCCGCCTTGCCACAATCCCAACGACATTGCTGCTGCTTCCTTCCCCTGTTTCTCTCCCGTCGCCTGCCGTCGCCGGAGCTGCTGCTGTTCCGGCGAGGCCCCTGCTCGCCCCTACTGTTGTTCGCTGTTGCTGCCTCGACCGGAGCTCCCTTGCCGCCGCCGTCGCCCGGCCGTGGCCGAGAGCCTCGCCGATCGCCGCCGCTGCGGCTGTCCCGACGATTTACCCCGCTATCCAGCCTCGTTTTCTTGCTCAAGTCGAGGTAAGCGACACCCTAAACCTTGTCTAGGACTTTGCGTATTATTAGACTTGTTTATGGGTCATTTAGGGTGAGATTGGCGGCTGATTAGGGGCTGTTCGGGGCTGATTTAATGACCGTTTAGTGCGACTTGGTGGCTGAATTGTGGGCTGGCTCGAGGTAAACGAATGGACTGGAGTATGGGCTAAATCGAGGTGGTTTATCGCTGATTTTATGGCTGGTTTGAAGGTCGCATGATGCTGGAAAATTATGTCGAGTTTATTAGTTATTTGTGTGTGATTCAATGCTCGATTGGCGATTGTTCGGGTTGTTTATTTGTGGCTGAATTGAGGGGGAGGATTCGATGGCTGGTGCGGCGATTTTCGAATGGCGATCGTGATAGGTTGTTTTATGAGTCGAGTAGAGCGATGTGCGGGCGGAATCTTGGCTGTTTAGTGGTTGGTCATTGCGAGATTTATGATTGATTTTTGGCTCGGGGAATGGCCAGTTCGATGAGCTGATGTTGGGTAATCTATGGAATGAAATATTAGCTATGTTATATCGGAATGGCGTGTTAGTGAGGCTAATTGTGCGGCTGTTTGGTGCTGATTTTATGACGGTTTAATGCTGATTTTTGTGTCGGTTGATGCTAAATTGGTGGCGGGTTTCGGGGTGAGTGAATGGGTCGGATTGTGGGCCGAAATGAGGTGGTTTATTGTTGAAATCATGGCTGGATTGGTGGTCATTAGTGCTGGAAATTATGTTAAGTTCATTGGATGTTCTTGTATGATTTAACGTCCGCTTGGCGACGGTTCGTGTTGTTTGTTCGTGGTTAGATTGACGCCTATTATGTGAACTGTGGCTTGATGTGACTAGAATGAGTGGCGATTAAGCATAATATAACGATATTTGAATATGTGATTGACATGGTAATTGATTGAATTATGTGGCGTATGTATTTGCTTGACCAAGCCCGGATTGATCGGAGGGCTGCCAACCTATAGGGTGTTGACCCGGGTTGTAAGAAAGGACCTGTAGGGTGTTGACCCGGGTCGTGAGAAAGGTCCTGGAGCGTGTTGACGCGGGACAAAGCCCAGATTGATCGGAGGGCTGCCAGCCTGGAGCGTGTTGACGCGGGTGGCGAGAAAGGACCTGTGGGGTGTTGACCCGGGTCATGAAAAATTTAGATGAATGCGCATGTGTATTGTTCCTAATTGAATTGGTGAATGTACGTGTGAATGACGCTCGAGTAATTGTGATAAGTACGTGAAATGTTATTGCAATATAGTGATTTGACTAATGTGCAGAGTTGGCGTGTGATTTGAGGCAAGGTAAGTACATTATGTGAAATTTGTTATGTGAATAGTTAGATTGCATTTTTTAGATTTGTCTGGGTACGCATTGGCCTATGTAGGGTTTAGGTTGTCTGCTTATTGAGATGTATTCTCACGGTTATTATATAACCATTTTCAGATCCGCGATCGTAATTGATTGGAGACGCCACCAGGGTATCTCGGGGATGGAGGATGGGTCAAGTTACCTCATATTTTGTGTGCCCCTCTTTTGTATAGCGAAGTAGGATATCCCACCACTGTTCCCTTTTGATGTGTATTTGGAATTATTGTTTCGTGCTATTGCTACCCCTTGTCATTATTAATTGTCTGGGTTGTTTCTATTTGTTTCCGCGCGTGCCTAATCTTTAATGTTTGGGTTGGGTCGGCGACGTGCCTGGGACGTCGCATTCAATGATCGACCATCGAGGGATGATAGCGCGCTCGTAGGGTGCGGGGCGTGACAATTAGTTCTGATCGATACCTCACGAAAGCCTCCCTATTTCCTGAGGGGTAGGTACTAGTATACTGCCGAATCTGTACAGGAATCCCAAAAAGAGGCGGTGGTCTCTCCATCTTTACGGCCGGGGGTCTGAAAAGTTTCGGTTTACACAACCGTGAGACGAATCTCAGTGAGTTCAACCCCTAAACCTAGGCTAGGCTAGCATGCAATCTCCTGACCGGAAACAAATATTTAAAAACCATAACACAACAATAATCAATGATTCTCTGACCCTGCAGGTTAGACAGTTCAATATATAATCATCACGGTACATACGTGGCACACATAGTCACACGTACGCCAATCACATGCTCATGCACCGAGTCTCACACACTCGCATGCCAGTCCATGCATGTTCCTGCATGCAAATGTCGTTGACATGTCATATGCATTTCCCGGCCCACTAGCCCACACTGACACACTGGCAATCGCCCAATTTATTATTTATTACGACTCGAGTCAACAATATTCACGGCCCGGTGCGTCTAGCCTGCTTCAAAGTGCATGAGGCGCAACACTGATCTCCTTACGAACCAGAGCCTGCTTCAAAGTGCATGAGGATGGTCGTCTTTCGGACGTACCGGGCATCGTCCTGCTTCAAAGTGCATGAGAACGGTATCGACCCGAGGTCACGACTCGAAGGTCCTTAGGTGATCACACAACTCATTATTATCTGAACCCAGCGTATGACGCTTCGGGGTATTTTAGGTGATCACACACTCATGGCAGGCACGCATTCTCGCACAACTCCACCACATGCCTCACTCTAGGCATACATAATGCGTGTCCATGTTATGCGATGCAATGCACCATGAGCACCAATGAAATTCAATCACTCAATATCACAACACGTGCTCAATTGGCCCAATTAATACCGTGTGGCCCAACGTGCGATTCACAATTCAATAATTAATTTCAAACCAATCATTGGTCAATCGCACTCCACATAATTCAGCCACACGACATGCGACATGGTAGTACGAAATCAATCACAATTAAGCACAAATTACGTACAACCAGTCAACCCGGACATGCCCGATAATTTTCCAATGGGCTCCTAAATTGGTCATTTAATCCAATTAATCTCCCCAAATAATTCTCATTAATCCACTAAATTTTCCCGATAACAATTTCTACCAATCAGTCCTCAACCCAGTCTGAAATACACACTGATACTACCTAAGCCAGTCCAGAAAAACGCACTATCAGTCCTAATCCAGGTTTAGGAATTTTACTCACTTAATCCAAGGTCACGACGACGGGGAACGGCAGCCGATCACTGGTGACCAGTGAAACCGGCGGCGGAATTCCTGGCGACGGCGTACGGACGGCGTGAACAGTGACTGTACGGACGGGCGGTGAACAGTAACCGTACGGAATGCCGTACGGACGGAGATGAACAGTGACGTACGAACGTCGGTAATGTCACAGTGGCAGCAGCTCAGCCGATCGGGCTCCGGCGCGGCGGCGTTGAGGCTCCGGCGCGGCGGCGGTGCTAACCCGAGAGAGAAAAAGGGAGAGAAAGAGAGAGAAAAGGAGAGAGAAAGGGGTCGGACAAAGGCAAGGCTGAGGCTGGGGGCTGTGGTGGTCGATAGCAGGGCACGGCGGCCGGCGGCGGTTTGCTCCGGTGACCGGCGGTTTGCTCCGGCAAGGCCAAACAAGAGAGAAAAATGAAAGGAAAAAGAGAGGGGGAGTGATCTACAGAAGAGGGAGGACTGATCTGGCCAGATGAGGGTGAGAGGAGAGAGAGAGAGAGTCTTATCTTGGTCAAACCATAGGGGCTAGGGTGCCAAGTGTCAAAGATCTAGCCTAAAGTAACAATTTTACCCCTCATCCAAGGGCTAATATTGAATCTTATCCAATAATTCAAGGGCATTTTGGTCCTTTGCTGCCATAATTAGGATAAGTCCAATTTTAATTAATTTCCTTAATTATCCCCCAAAATTCGGAACCAAAAATAGCCCAGCGACAAAACCGTCATTTTTCCGGTCCCGGGGCGAAGTTCCATTCTTCACCCGTACCAACCCTCCATGAGCGTGGCCAACATAATGCGGTGTCGGAATCGCGAAATTCATCGCGCAAGCCCTAGAAAATCCACGCCAAAGTTTCGGGAATAAAATAATATTATTTTTCTAATTTTTGTCGAAATTCCAATTTTTGGCCATAACGACTCCTGGTATGCGTGGCCACCCAAAAATGGCGTCGGCCTCGAAAAATAACCTCATTTGGCCTTGAAAAGCAACGCTGGCGTCCCGAGGGGCAAAATCGTAATTTTTCATCCCCGGACCGAAATTTCAATTTTTACTCGTACTAACTCCAAACGTGTGTGGCCAGCTTGATATGACGTCAGATTCCCAAAAATAGTCTCTTAAGCCTTCGAAAATCGACATCGAAATCCGACCCCAATTCCGTGAACAAAACTCGCTAAACTTTCAATTTCAGGGTCTCTCACTAACGGGCGGCTGTTTAGGAATTATGCGTATCGACCTAGGGCTATCCGTATCGTAATGGTCTCGATCATTGAGAGAATGAGAAATTATCACTAGTTCCAGAGGTCACGATCGTTCGGTTTAAGTTCAGGACTGGTTGGCCACGTGTACTTTCGGTCTTGCAGAATCACCCGCGTCCCTATTGTACATCGTAGGCCTTGGCCAAACCCAATCCATTACCCTTTCCTACGATCGGCCCACGTTGGCCCAAAATATTCCCTCAGCGTCTCTCGTGATCGGTGTCCGTTTCACGATAGGTTCCCCGGTCCACGTACTGCTTCTTAATTAGCCATACCCTATTGGTTAGTATCCCGAGAGTGATCAGCTCTGGGCGAGACTTACTAAAATGAAATTCGAATTAATATCAGTTTTATTGATCCCGGAATTACATCGAAATTCGGGCTGTTACAAGTTTGATGGTGTCCAAGTTGATGTTGGTGCATGGGACGTTTTCGCTGCAATTTAGTTTGATGGCCACTTTCGTGCTGGACGTCCCAAATGCCATGTGGTAATGCACGTCGCTTATCTGTACTCCAGTGTCCTATCAACACGTTCACAGATGATTCAGTTCAATTTAGCTGAGGAAGCTAAATTCGGAAGCCTTGGGAAACATAATCTTCGAATGTATACGTTGTCTGTGATCGTGATTACCGACAATAGTCACCAGTTCAATCAACTTTAATCTTTTAAGGATTATTCATTCTCGTCTTACCGTCTTGGGACAAGCACTTGGAGTATGGCAGTAGAACTGGTCTATGATGATGGGGTTTTTCACTGCGGTGAAGTTGAGATTCGAGAAAAAAACTTGGCTAACTCGGCCTCTTCCCACCTGTCAATTTCGTAAATTTTACTTCACAGTTTTACTCCAACCCCATTTCTTCTAACGCAGATAAATGAATGTATTGACAAACTCGGACATACCGGCCAAGTTTTAATTCTAGCTCCATTAGTTGTCCCATGAAAGTGAACGTTCTTCACGTTGATGTTGCTCACACTTACTTCATTTCCACCCCTTCCCAAGCTTCCAATGCTGTCCCCGGCAAAATTGCACCCAAATCAAGTACATCAATACACCTTCACAGCTTACAACTTGCTACAAACCCTTGATAAATGCATTGCAGTTTTTTACCGTGTTTGGCACCATTTATCCATATGACTACCTAATATTTTCTTCCATTTTTAGGTTAGTAACAGTGTGTTTACCTTATGCCATGACCAGGTCCGCACTTTATGTCATTGATACTGATATTCGAGATATGATCGCCCATCGAGATGCAATCATCGCCTGTTGATGAAACACCATAAGGGGATGAACTGTTATAATCATTTTCACGAACCCAACAAGCCCTTTAATCCAACTGAAATTGTGAGAGAAAAGGAATGCAATGTCTAAAAGTCTTGAGATAATCAGACTGACCCTCTCCCAAAAGCAAACGTCAAGCAACAAAAGAAAACACATACAGAGTCTCAGAGGAAAGCAATGCATTACCGGTGCCTATGGTTGAAGATTGAACAGAGACAGCATGAGATGCATGAATGTGGATTCCGTCGGTGTTGGGGCTCTCGTCAGGTGCGGAAATGTTCAAGAACTTCAAATGAACGTCGCTGCTTCCATAAACAGTTACATGCACCTGAGGACTGTTCTTGAAGTGCAGATTTTGCAAACTCACTCCATTGCACTTTTCGATACGGAGCGTCTGCAGTAGCCCATGGCAATTCAAGTACCAGACATTAGCTTTTTTTGTTCGTAAGTGCTATAGTTTTAATGTCATATTGACGAAACATTCCTCGTTTACAGCTTTGGTTAACAAAAGCTGCTTTTCTTTAACATAGCTACTAGTTGGTTAAGATTATTATTGCTGCCTAATATTTAATTTGTCCTTATAATTTCCAAGTTCTAATCGAGAGTACATAAGATCATCCTGAACGATTGTCACCAACAAACTTACGAGGAAAAGTTGGTGAGAAATCAGCTGAATTTCCAAAAGAGGAGGACAGTGGCAGAGTTTGTGACAAGGAGTTCAACCATTTTCTAGCCTAGGTAAGAAATTGTTGCTCATCCCAGTATTTTGGGGCCTTAAATCTGACCATCCCCAGATTGAAGTGTATTAAGACTGAATCTGTCAACTTGAACCAGAAGAAGAATTAGGCAGCTACATGATGCAACATTATATGGAACTAAATTAATTTAATCGAGGGGCTACTAATTAAAGTCCGAGTGTATGAACGACAAATTTTTACCCTGTCAGATCATTTCCTAAACTAGTATCGCGTTAACCGCGAGAAATCTGGATGTATAAGTGGGTATTAACTAGTAAGAAAGCAATACGCTTATGTTATGTACATGCCTATCTGTATTTCTTCTCCTTAATGAATCTTCATAAGAACTCAACTTATATATAGCAATGGAAGACAAGGCATCATGAATGCCGCGAAGGACTTACAGTTGGGGCGAGCTTATTGCATCCCTGGTCCCGGAACAAATCGAACAAGAATAAGAAGTGTCAGAACTACAAAAGAAGCAGCATTACAATTCGGAAATTTGAAATACAAGTGTTTGATTCTTAATCAAAATTTGCAGAAAAGGGGTTGAATTTTCGTTACAGGCTTGGTGTTCCATTTGCAGGATATGTTCCACCAGCCATCGCCATATCCATCAAACAAGCCCGGGCCACTTATGTTGAGCCCATTCACTTTCTCAAAAGTCAACCACTTTGCTGGATCGTACCCCTTCCATGCATTTGGATCTTTTGGTGCTATGATCTTCCCTGATATCTGCAATCGCATTAATTAAGGAGGATTTTCGAACTCACAAACTTTATTAGATCTGAATATGTAAAGTCCACCAAGGCGTTACTTTTTTTTTTTTTTTTTTCAGAAAATGAATGATTTGAAAAATACTTTTCTAAAAATAATCTTTCATATAGTTTGAAAAATTAGTTGATGAAAAATATTTTCATTATCGATAGCAATTTATACCTAAAATATTTTTGTGGATGATGAAAATATTTTAGTCGATCATTCATTTTTTTTAGTGATACCAAGCGATCATTTTTTGGAAAATGTCTTCTAAAATTTTTCATTTTTCGCGAAATATATACACCCTAAATCCTTGATGCGGTACTTTTCCATGCAATTAAAGCTAATCTCATTGAACTTAAAGACTTTCTTTCATCTATGAAAGAACCACCATCTGTTTTGATCTTTTATAAGGGGAAGAAAGAAACAGAGATATGTTGTCTTTATTAAACTTACTTCAAGATTGATATTAGACTTGCAAGGGCCCACAAAATTGATAGGATTCAAATGGTACTTCTTTCCTTCTGGAACGGTGATGGTCGATGCACTTCCCTCTGTGTTGCACGCATCATTCCACGCCTTTGTAAATGCCTACGCATATTTCAATAGGAAATCATGAGACTAGTTGAATATAATCTCTTATTATTAAGTTACAACGAAATCTTCTACATGGCCTATAGACATGGACAGGTACAAAAAAACTAGTCGGGTGTCACCCGATCACCGGAAAGTCTTAATAAATATAAATAGAAAATTATACCGAGGTATCGTCGGACCACCCATCGCCAACTGCTCCGTAGTCGGACACGCTGAACCTTTTGTCAGCAGCACCGACCTCGATTTCACATGTCAACGGTAGCGCAGTAACCAGGACCCAGGAACATACAGAAATCGAGAAACCCTGCGCACAAAAATCATATTAGGCACGAAAAGAAATCCAAGAACATGCTATTTGCAGCTCATCTTGAGAGGTTTACCATAAGGACTTCCTCCGGGAAGCAACAAATCGCAAATGCAAAGAAGCGAGATGAACGGTTGAGCTCTCTTCTTCAGATGCAGAATGGGAGTGATTGCTGCACGCCACGCGAGGGGTTGATTTTAAAGTGGATCGTGCTTAGCTTCAGAAGGGAAAACTTTGTAAATGCGGGAGTATAATCTGTAGTTTCCATGTGTAGAACTGTAAAAGTACCAGAGCGGAAGGAATCAAACTTCTGCATAACCATCCAATCAAACTAGAAAGAGAAAGAGAATGCAGCTGCCCAGTGTGATCCATTCTTTCTGACTTTGACTTCACACAGAATGTCTGGTTGTGGATCTGGGCATCATCATCATTCACTTAGAGATAATCTGTCGTAATCTTGATCTTCAGACGTGTAAAATCACACTGATACTTTGACTATCGGAGCAAAATGAAACGGCTCAAGAAAGCCAATCAAATGGTATTACTCTCTCGGAAGTTTGGAATATCATCATTCACTTATTCCAGAAAAAAAAAAATTTCCTGTTATTTCAGTAGAAGGGAGGGGAAATTTTTTTACTTATCTGGCATCGTCATTCATTTATGTGGAGCAGTAGAAATGTTAAACTCAATCATCGTAAATTGTTACTGACGAAAAAAAATTACGTGTCGACTTTTCGATCGATAGTATCTTTTGTAAGATTGTAAATATTATGTTTTAGGGTCCGTTCGTTTCACGGAAAACCTACAGTTTTGGAATATGTATTCCTAAAAATGATCGCGTGCTTCGCCTACAAAAATGAATGAACGAATTATATTTTTGTCACTTACGAAGGTATTTAGATATAAAATGTTGTCGATAATGGAAATATTTTTTCTTTGGCTGAATATTCCAAGCGATATAATCAATCATTTTTTGGAACATGATTTTTGAAATGAGCTGCAAAAAACATGTACTAGGATTCTTATAGCCCCTAACATGCTTTTTTGTGTGTAGGGTTTCTCGATTTCTATATGTTCGTTGATCCTAGTTTTTGCACTATTGTTGACAAATGAATTTAAGGTCGGTGTTGCCAATAAAACATTCAGTGTTTCGGACTATGAAGTGGTTGGCAATGGGCTCACCGATGATTCTTCGGTATAGTTTTATGTTGATCTATCTAGTTATACGTACCGAGATTAAGTAAAGTTTTGACTACTTTTTTGTAGCAGTCCATGTATGTAGGCCGTGTAAAGAATTTCGTTGTGACGTGACAATAAAAGATCATATTCAATGAATCTCATAATTTGATATTGAAATACGCGCAGGCATTTACAAAGGCGTGGAAGGATGCATGCAGCTCAACGGCGGGGGCATCGACCATCAGCGTTCCGCAAGGAAAGAAGTACCATTTAAATCCTATCAATTTTGTGGGCCCTTGCAAGTCTTATATCAATCTCGCGGTAAGTAAAATAAAGACAACATATCTCTTTCTCTCTTCCACTTATAAAAGATCAAAACATATGGTGCTTCTTTAATAGATGAAAGAAAGTCTTAAGTTCAATGCGATTAGCTTTAATTGCATGGAAAGTACTAGATCTAGGATTTAGGGTGCGTTTGTTTTGCGGGAAATGAAGGATTTCGAAAACATTTTTAAAAAATGATCGTTTTATATCGCTTACAAAAACGAATAAACGAAAAATATTTGGTATAAATTGTTATCGATAATGAAAACATTTTTAATTGGTTAATTATTTTAAATAATACAAAAGATTATTTTTAGAAAAATATTTTTCAAATTACTCATTTTTCGCAAACAAGTGAAGCCTTAGTGGACTTTAATCATTCAGATCTAATGAAGTTTGTGAGTAATCCTTCCTCAATGCGATTGCAGGTATCAGGGAAGATCATAGCACCAAAAGATCCAAATGCATGGAAGGGGTACGCTCCAGCCAATTAGTGGGCCAGGCTTGTTTGATGGATATGGCAATGCCTGGTGGAACATCTCTTGCAAATTGAACCCCAAGCCAGTAACGAAATTTCAACCCCTTTTCAGCAAATTTTGATTAAGAATCAAACATTTGTATTTCAAATTTCCGAATTGTAATGCTACTTGTTTTGCAGTTCTGACCCTTCTTTTTCATGTTCGATTTGTTTGGGGACCAGGGATGCAATAAGCTTGCCCCAACTGTAAGTCTTTCGCAGCATTCATGATATTCTCTCTTCTATCGCTATATACAGTTGAGTTCTTAAGAAGATTCATTTAGGAGAAGAGATACATATAGGCATGTACATAACATAACCGTAGGCATTTACAAAGGCGTGGAATGATGCATGCAACGCAGAAGAAGGGACGTCGACCATCGACGTTCCACAAGGAAAGACCTACCTTTTGAACATTATGGAATTTGCGGGCCCTTGCAAGTTGAATATCAATTTCACAGTAAGTGAAATAGAGACAACATATCTCTTTTTCTTGCTTCCCCTTATTTAGTCCATACATCGACCTATCGAATCCTTTTCGAGCGAATAGGGGATTGATCATAGTCTCATTTTGTTTCCGCACCAAAGTGCCAACTCGAGATTTTTAGATTATCATATTCAAGATAAGATATCGACATGGATGGTGTTTCTTTTATAAACGGAACAGAGTCTCAAGTCGACGAGATCAACTCTTATTGCATGGAAAAGTACCGGATCTAGGATTTAACGAACTTACATGTTCGATCTAATGGGGTTTGGGAGTTCGATAATCCTCGTTTACATTGGATTGCAGGTATTAGGAGAGATCATAGCACCAAAAGATCCAAGTGCTTGGAAGGAGAAGGATCAATGGTTGATTTTCGACAGTATAAATGGGCTCACCATAAGTGGGCCGGGCTCATTTGATGGAAATGGCAAGCCCTGGTGGGGCCTCTCCTGCAAATTGAACCCCACGACCGTAACGAAAAATCATCCCTTCTTCTTCTTCCAAATTTTTTATTAAGAATCAAAACGCTTGTAATTTCAAATTTCCAAATTGCAATGCTACTTCTTTTGTACTTCTAACCCTTCTTTCTCTTGTTTGATTTGTTTGGGGACCAGGGATGCAATACGTACGCGCCGACTGTAAGTATCTCGCAATATTCATGATACTTTCTCTCTTCCATTGCTGTTTATAGTTAAGGTCCTATATGAGGATTCGTTTAAGAGAAGAAATGCAAATAGATACGTACATATAAATTATGCCAGTCTTTCCACATAGCATTGCACAATGTAGCAGCTTCTGTGTTCCTCTAGTTCTAGCTGATAAATTGAGTCTCAATACACTTCAATCTGGGGATGGCCAGACTCAATGCCCCGATCACCGTGACGAGCAACAATTTCTTACCTAGGCTAGAAAAAGTTTCAACTCCTTGTCACAAACTCTGCCACTGTTCTACTCTTTTGGAAATTCAGTTGATTTCTCACCAATTTTTCCTCGTAAGTTTGTTAGTGACAATTGTTCCCAGATAATCTCATGTACTCTCGATTACAACTTGAAAATCGTAAGGACAAATTAAATATTAGGCAGTAATAATTTTAATCTAACTAGTAGCTATGTATAGGAAAAGCAGCTTTTGTTAACAAAAGATGTAAAAGGGGAATGTTTCGTCAATATAACATTAAAACTATAGCACTTTCGAACGAAAAAAGCTAATGTCCGGTACTTGAATGACATGGGCTACTGCAGACGCTCCGTATCGAAAAGTGCAATGGAGTGTATTTGCAAGATCTGCACTTCAAGAACAGTCCTCAGATGCATTTAATTGTTTATGGAAGCAGCGACGTTTACATGAAGTCCTTGAACATTTCCGCACCCGAGGAGAGCCCCAACACCGACGGAATCCACATTGGATCTTCTCATGGTGTCTCTGTTCGTTCTTCAATTATAGGCACCGGTGATGCATTGCTTTCCTCTGAGACTATCTGTGTGTGTTTTCTTTTGTTGCTTGACATTTGCTTTCGGGAGAGAATCAGTCTAATTATCTCAAGACTTTTAGACATTTCAATTCCTTTTCTCTCATAATTTCAGTTGTATTGAAGGACATGTTGCGTTTGTGAAAATGAATGTAACATTTCATCGCCTTATGGTGTTTCATCGACAGGCGACGATTGCATCTCGATCAGCGACCAGACCTCGAATATCAGTGTTTCTGACATCCGGTGTGGACCTGGTCATGGAATAAGGTAAATGCACCGTTACTATACGAAACCTAAACATCTAAGAAAATATCAGGTAGACTCATGCGTGATAGATGGTGCCAAACACGGTATAAAACAGCGACCCTATTATCATGGGTTTGCGGCAAGTTGTAAGCTGTGAAGGTGTATTAATGTACATGCTTTTGGTGCAATTTTGGTGGGGACAGCATTGGAAGCTTGGGAAAGGATGGAGAGGAAGCAAGTGTCAGCAACATCGACGTGAAGAACGTCGACTTTTACGGGTCAACTAATGGAGCTAGAATTAAAACTTGGCAGGTATGTCCGAGTTTGTCAATACATTCATTTATCTGCGTTAGAAGAAATGAGGTTGGAGTAAAACTGAAGTAAAATTTACGAAATTGACAGGAGGGAAGAGACCGAGTTAGCCAAGTTTTTTTCTCGAATCTCAGGTTCACCGCGGTGAAAAACCCCATCATCATTGACCAGTACTACTGCGATGCTCGGGATGCTTGTCCCAAAACGGTAAGACGAGAACGAATAATCCTTAAATGATTAAAGTTGACTGAACTAGTGACTATCATCGGTAATCACGATCACGGACAACGTATACGTTCGAAGATTATGTTTGCCAAGGCTTCCGAATTTAGCTTCGTCAGCCGAATTGAACTTAATCATCTGTGTGGACGTGTTGATAGGAAACGGGAGTACAGATAAGCGACGTGCATTACCAAATGGCATCCGGGACGTCCAGCACGAAAGTGGCCATCAACCTAAATTGCAGCAACAACGTCCCATGCACCAACATCAACTTGGACACCATCAAACTGGAATCTGCGAACGAAGGAGAGGAACCCATTTCTAGCTGCAACAATGCCTTTGGAACTACAGTAGGAATCGTCGAGCCCAAGTCCTGCCTTCAATGATTATGAAAAAGAAAGCTGCCGGTGGTTGAGAACCCAGTAGTAGATCGAGCATATCTAAAATGTGTACAAATCAAAGTGAAAAGAGTTTGAAGCTTTATTTCCTGCATTTGAAGATTTGTGAATGGTTTAATAAGAAGTTAAAATTGTTGCTTTCCCTTGTTTATTTATCACGCATCAAGATCTAAACTCAGTGAAAATTCCAAATAAGAACCTGAAGTGCCATCATTTTCTCAAATAAGGGTCTGAAATGGATTTTATTTTAAATAAGTGTCTAAAGTAGTTATGTTAATTTCAAAGAAGAGCCCAAACTTCCCGGATGATCAATGGCCCTTGCCCGGGCGAGGTTGCCCTCGAAAGCCATGGGCAAGGGCCACCCTCGCTTGTGGCCGGCCCTTGTCCTAGCGGCCAACGAGGGTCGCCGGGCCCTCGTTAAAAAGAAAAATAAAAAGAAATGAGAAAAATAAAAAGAAAAAAAGAAAAAATAATTAAAATTGTCTTTGGACAAAAATGCCCTTGATCGGTCGGAATATTTAGCCGGCCGGCAACCGGCAAGGTCAGTCCCTTATTTAAACTTCCATGATTATTTCACGTCCTTATTTGAGACCGACATAACCACTTCAAGCTCTTATTTGAAAATCTGAGGGCACTTCATGCCCTACCTCAAAACTTGACATATATCCTTTTCTTTCTGTTTGTAAGTGAAGGGCTATCTTGCGGCTCACTGTTCCATGGATTGTATCATGTATTCATCAACACAGTGTTGTGAATGAACTTTCCAATCCCAAAAGGGCTGTATGCACGTTATACATTCAAGTTTGAAGGCCCATGATGCCATTTATGATTAGATAACAATTAAAACTGCAATAGAGTATACTAATTGATAAAGTTTTATGAAAATATTAAAATTGATCTTTCTTTCCCGAATGCAATATAAGATCGGTGTTTCATTGTTACTGGGTTGTATAAAATACTTTCAAGGATATAATATCGAGATGGTTTGGCAAATTAGCCGGACAAAATATAAATAGACTAAATGGATAATCAAGAGAATTGGTATGTATGGTTATCAAAGACATGTAGACAAAAAATTTAACTACATACTTTTACTGTGTTAATAGAGCATTGTATTAGTTTGGAACTTACTTATTTGATGAAGATGCTTTTTGTTAAATAGGAAAAAGACAACTTCCATTCATTTTTTGGTCCGTGATGATATATAATATGTAGACTTTTTAGATATAGATAGTTCCATAGATGATCGTAATCGCACCAGGAGCAAAAGTTTCACGAGAGGATGATGAATATGATAGCAATTATGTTTATTTAAGTTTATGTTAGGTGAAATTAATTTGTTTTTCCAAGTTAAATTTATGTTCTTCAAATTTTTTTAGAGCTATAACAGCCTGCACGAAGGACTTGGAACCAGAACCTACACACAAGATAGTCAACAACCGGCTTCCCATATTGGCAAACTGTCGATCACGCTCGCACCACACCATGGTCGACCGTGGCTCCAGATTCGAAACGTCAATTCCTTCGACGAAAGGTTTCCCAGGTCTTAAATCGCAAGCCCTCCATGTCATTGATCCAAGAGAAACAGCGTACCGTCGCTCGTCGACATGATATGCAAGCCGCATAGAATAAGGCGCTGTCTCAAGGTGTGGCTTCCATCCACCGTCTGGATCACTCGCATACAGAACATCGATAAAATAATATTCGTCTTGTGTACAGCAACAGCTGAAACTTCATAGCAGCACCCATCAGATTCTCTATAATGAGGAGATTCCAAACAAGGGGATTTCAGCTCAGGAAGACAAGTCCAACTTCCATTATTTGGGTCAAGAACCTCCACCCTTGACTCAGACCTGCTGGCCTCCTTAGGTCTAAAGTACACATGCCTGCTCAATTATCGGCTGAGAATCCACATATATTAGATGCATCCTGATGAGTACGCACGCCTGCTTAATTAGTCAGGTGAGAATCCGTCCCATTGTTTCTGTTCAACATTTTCGCAAATTACAGTAGATTATCCCGTTCTGTGCTGACTACGGACTAATAATACAACGGGCACGTTAAACGTGCAGCAAGACCAGCAACGCATGAAGAATGGCACTTCTTCGACGTACAGAAGCTCACGGCGCAAGGCCATTAATTAACAGACCGACTTGTCCTAACAGTTAGTGTGAGGAAGGACGATCAACTGCTGAGACCAACAAATGGAAGAATGTAGCGCGTGGAATGCATAAAATTCAGACCTATCAGCAGAAACCGGGGGTCCAAATAAATCAGACAGCACAATCTATATACACAATACAAGCAGATATAATGCTTGTATTTAACCCAGTTTCAAAGAACAAGATATAACTATGGAAAAAAATCTAATAAACAAAACTACCCAATAACTGCTAGAAAGAAGACGCGTTCTCATGGTCTATGGCCCTGCAATTCCTATCTTTTTGCATCATCAAGCAGGATAAAACAGATGAGGTGAATGACTAGACAAGTTCATGACCACGAGCTAGGAAAAGCATCAAGTTTACAACACCAACGCCAGTAAAATTAATGAGTTGTGATTCCTGGATCAGCTTACTGCAATCGCTCGGGTTAGCCTGCGCTACGCAATCTGGAACAAAGGAAGAAACAGATTCGAAACCCTAAGCTCAACGAAGAGGAAGGCTACCTCACGTGTTTGGCCTCTTATTATTTTTATTTTAAGATGATATTAGTAGCGATGGGAAAGTCCTTCAATTTGAATATTTGTCGCCTTCACAGCTAGAGATGAGATTCTGAAGAAATGTCCACCGTTCGATAATGGTGAAAAAACAAAGCAAACAAGAAACATAAACTTTTCCATGAATTTCAGGTCATATATCATCATATCAGACGATGCGTTGAAGATAATGGAGTATATTGACTTACCCTTCCCTCAACTGGCATCCTTCTTATAGTTCCCATATGGGTCCTCCCTGTCTCTGGATACTGTAAACCTGTTCCCATTTCATCGTGTAATTATAACTTCATGAAGCTGTGTTAAGTTATTTAATAACTGTATCATGAGGACGAAGAATACGTAGCGAGCAAATAAATGAAGCATTCATTTTATTCATTGGAGTGGAGGTGGAAGTTTTTTTTTTTTTGGTAAGGAGAGTGGAGGTGGAAGTTCACCTTTCATATTTGTGGTCATTGGTGATGAGCACCCATACACACTAGTCAGTCTGCGCTCAAAACATTTGCAAATCTACAAATGCAATAAAAGAAGTTTCTGTTTTTTCACTTTGATATGTACACATTTTAGACATGCTCGATCTACTTCTGGGTTCTCAACCACCGGCAGCTTTCTTTTTCATAATCACTGAAGGCAGGACTTGGGTTCGACGGTTCCTTTTGCAGTTCCAAAGGCATTGTTGCAGCTAGAAATGGGTTCCTCTCCTCCGCTCGCAGATTCCAGTTTGATGGTGTCCAAGTTGATGTTGGTGCATGGGACGTTTTCGCTGCAATTTAGGTTGATGGCCACTTTCGTTCTGGACGTCCCAAATGCCATGTGGTAATGCATGTCGCTTATCTGTACTCCAGTGTCCTATCAACACGTTCACAGATGATTCAGTTCAATTCAGCTGAGGAAGCTAAATTCGGAAGCCTTGGGAAACATAATCTTCGAATGTATACGTTGTCTGTGATCGTGATTACCGACAATAGTCACCAGTTCAATCAACTTTAATCTTTTAAGGATTATTCATTCTCGTCTTACCGTCTTGGGACAAGCACTTGGAGTATGGCAGTAGAACTGGTCTATGATGATGGGGTTTTTCACTGCGGTGAAGTTGAGATTCGAGAAAAAAACTTGGCTAACTCGGCCTCTTCCCACCTGTCAATTTCGTAAATTTTACTTCACAGTTTTACTCCAACCCCATTTCTTCTAACGCAGATAAATGAATGTATTGACAAACTTGGACATACCTGCCAAGTTTTAATTCTAGCTCCATTAGTTGTCCCATGAAAGTGAACGTTCTTCACGTTGATGTTGCTCACACTTACTTCATTTCCACCCCTTCCCAAGCTTCCAATGCTGTCCCCGGCAAAATTGCACCCAAATCAAGTACATCAATACACCTTCACAGCTTACAACTTGCTACAAACCCTTGATAAATGCATTGCAGTTTTTTACCGTGTTTGGCACCATTTATCCATATGACTACCTAATATTTTCTTCAATTTTTAGGTTAGTAACAGTGTGTTTACCTTATGCCATGACCAGGTCCGCACTTTATGTCATTGATACTGATATTCGAGATATGATCGCCCATCGAGGTGCAATCATCGCCTGTTGATGAAACACCATAAGGGGATGAACTGTTATAATCATTTTCACAAACCCAACATGCCCTTTAATCCAACTGAAATTGTGAGAGAAAAGGAAATGCAATGTCTAAAAGTCTTGAGATAATCAGACTGACCCTCTCCCAAAAGCAAAAGTCAAGCAACAAAAGAAAACACATACAGATAGTCTCAGAGGAAAGCAATGCATTACCGGTGCCTATGGTTGAAGATTGAACAGAGACAGCATGAGATGCATGAATGTGGATTCCGTCGGTGTTGGGGCTCTCGTCAGGTGCGGAAATGTTCAAGAACTTTAAATGAACGTCGCTGCTTCCATAAACAGTTACATGCACCTGAGGACTGTTCTTGAAGTGCAGATTTTGCAAACTCACTCCATTGCACTTTTCGATACGGAGCGTCTGCAGTAGCCCATGGCATTCAAGTACCAGACATTAGCTTTTTTTGTTCGTAAGTGCTATAGTTTTAATGTCATATTGACGAAACATTCCTCGTTTACAGCTTTGGTTAACAAAAGCTGCTTTTCTTTAACATAGCTACTAGTTGGTTAAGATTATTATTGCTGCCTAATATTTAATTTGTCCTTACAATTTCCAAGTTCTAATCGAGAGTACATAAGATCATCCTGAACGATTGTCACGAGGAAAAGTTGGTGAGAAATCAGCTGAATTTCCAAAAGAGGAGAACAGTGGCAGAGTTTGTGACAAGGAGTTCAACCATTTTCTAGCCTAGGTAAGAAATTGTTGCTCATCCCAGTATTTTGGGGCCTTAAATCTGACCATCCCCAGATTGAAGTGTATTAAGACTGAATCTGTCAACTTGAACCAGAAGAAGAATTAGGCAGCTACATGATGCAACATTATATGGAACTAAATTAATTTAATCGAGGGGCTACTAATTAAAGTCCGAGTGTATGAACGACAAAATTTTTACCCTGTCAGATCATTTCCTAAACTAGTATCGTGTTAACCGCGAGAAATCTGGATGTATAAGTGGGTATTAACTAGTAAGAAAGCAATACGCTTATGTTATGTACATGCCTATCTGTATTTCTTCTCCTTAATGAATCTTCATAAGAACTCAACTTATATATAGCAATGGAAGAGAAGGCATCATGAATGCCGCGAAGGACTTACAGTTGGGGCGAGCTTATTGCATCCCTGGTCCCGGAACAAATCGAACAAGAATAAGAAGTGTCAGAACTACAAAAGAAGCAGCATTGCAATTCGGAAATTTGAAATACAAGTGTTTGATTCTTAATCAGAATTTGCAGAAAAGGGGTTGAATTTTCGTTACAGGCTTGGTGTTCCACTTGCAGGATATGTTCCACCAGCCATCGCCATATCCATCAAACAAGCCCGGGCCACTTATGTTGAGCCCATTCACTTTCTCAAAAGTCAACCCACTTTGCTGGATCGTACCGCTTCCATGCATTTGGATCTTTTGGTGATATGATCTTCCCTGATATCTGCAATCGCATTAAGGGAGGATTTTCGAACTCACAAACTTTATTAGATCTGAATATGTAAAGTCCACCAAGGCGTTACTTTTTTTTTTTTTTCAGAAAATGAATGATTTGGAAAATACTTTTCTAAAAATAATCTTTCATATAGTTTGAAATAATTAGTTGATGAAAAATATTTTCATTATCGATAACAATTTATACCTAAAATATTTTTGTGGATGATGAAAATATTTTAGTCGATCATTCATTTTTTTGAGTGATACCAAGTGATCATTTTTTGGAAAATATCTTCTAAAATTTTTCATTTTTCGCGAAATATATGCACCCTAAATCCTTGATGCGGTACTTTTCCATGCAATTAAAGCTAATCTCATTGAACTTAAAGACTTTCTTTCATCTATGAAAGAACCACCATCTGTTTTTATCTTTTATAAGGGGAAGAAAGAAACAGAGATATGTTGTCTTTATTAAACTTACTTCAAGATTGATATTAGACTTGCAAGGGCCCACAAAATTGATAGGATTCAAATGGTACTTCTTTCCTTCTGGAACGGTGATGGTCGATGCACTTCCCTCTGTGTTGCACGCATCATTCCACGCCTTTGTAAATGCCTACGCATATTTCAATAGGAAATCATGAGACTAGTTGAATATAATCTCTTATTATTAAGTTACAACGAAATCTTCTACATGGGCCTATAGACATGGACAGGTACAAAAAAACTAGTCGGGTGTCACCCGATCACCGGAAAGTCTTAATAAATATATAAATAGAAAATTATACCGAGGTATCGTCGGACTACCCATCGCCAACTGCTCCGTTGTCGGACACGCTGAACCTTTTGACAGCAGCACCGACCTCGATTTCATATGTCAACGGTAGCGCAGTAACCAGGACCCAGGAACATACAGAAATCGAGAAACCCTGCGCACAAAAATCATATTAGGCGCAAAAAGAAATCCAAGAACATGCTATTTGCAGCTCATCTTGAGAGGTTTACCATAAGGACTTCCTCCGGGAAGCAACAAATCGCAAATGCAAAGAAGCGAGATGAACGGTTGAGCTCTCTTCTTCAGATGCAGAATGGGAGTGATTGCTGCACGCCACGCGAGGGGTTGATTTTAAAGTGGATCGTGCTTAGCTTCAGAAGGGAAAACTTTGTAAATGCGGGAGTATAATCTGTAGTTTCCATGTGTAGAACTGTAAAAGTACCAGAGCGGAAGGAATCAAACTTCTGCATAACCATCCAATCAAACTAGAAAGAGAAAGAGAATGCAGCTGCCCAGTGTGATCCATTCTTTCTGACTTTGACTTCACACAGAATGTCTGGTTGTGGATCTGGGCATCATCATCATTCACTTAGAGATAATCTGTCGTAATCTTGATCTTCAGACGTGTAAAATCACACTGATACTTTGACTATCGGAGCAAAATGAAACGGCTCAAGAAAGCCAATCAAATGGTATTACTCTCTCGGAAGTTTGGAATATCATCATTCACTTATTCCAGAAAAAAAAAATTTGCTCTTCTGTTATTTCAGTAGAAGGGAGGGGAAATTTTTTTACTTATCTGGCATCGTCATTCATTTACGTGGAGCAGTAGAAATGTTAAACTCAATCGTCGTAAATTGTTACTGACGAAAAAAAATTACGTGTCGACTTTTCGATCGATAGTATCTTTTGTAAGATTGTAAATATTATGTTTTAGGGTCCGTTCATTTCACGGAAAACCTACAGTTTTGGAATATGTTTTCCTAAAAATGATCGCGTGCTTCGTGTAACAGCCTGAATTTCGATGTAATTCCGGAATCAATAAAATTGACAATATTTCGCATTTCATTTTAGTAAGTCTCGCCCAGAGCTGATCACTCTCGGGATACTAACCAATAGGGTATGGCTAATTAGAAAGCGGTACGTGGACCAAGGATCCGATCGCGAAGTGGACACCGATCACGAGAAATGATGAGAGAATATTATGAACCAATATGGATCGATCTTAGGAAAGGTAACGGACTTGGTTTGGCCAAGGCCAACGATGTACAATTGGATCGCAGGTGATTCTGCACGACCGAGAGTACACATGGTCAACCAGTCCTGAGCTTAAATCGGACGATCGTGACCTCTGAAACTTATGATAATTTCTCATTCTCTCAATGATCAGGACCGTCATGACTCGGATAACCCTAGGTCGATACGCGTAACCTCTAGACAGCCGCCCGTTAGTGAGAGACCCTGAAATTGGAAATTAAGCGAGTTTTGATCACGAAATTGGGCCCGGATTGTCACGCCCCGAACCTTACGGCGCGCGAGCATCCCTACCATGGTCGATTCGAGTGCGACGTCCCAGGACGCGTCGCCGACCCAACGCCCAACACAGAGGTTTAAAGCACATGCGGAAGCAAATCAAACACCCGTACAGAACTATAACACCAAACCAAGGATAGCCACAAACGAGAACAAGATTACAAAATAAACACTTGTATTACTATGAGAAACCATATACAATTTTCATATACAGCCCATGCTCAAAATCAAAAGCAGTTCAAGGCCACTACAACTAGCCGGGGCTCCTCCCAAAACACTTCGGTACGCCTGCCATCCTCAAGGCTGGGGTCTGAAAATGTGGTTTAAACAACAATGAGAATAATCTCAGTGAGTAATTCCCTAAACCTAAACTAGGCTAACGTGCACCTCCAGAGGGTAAATAAAACACATAAATCACTGAACCAGTATAACAATCAATATAAGTTCACCCGGGCCCATAGCCCAATTCACTACTCCGCCATGCAGGTTAGACTTTTAATATCATTATAAAACATATGCGAGTAAATCGACCCAAAGGCCACGACTCTGAAGCCAACAACAGTTAAGCCGACCCGAAGGCCACGACCCGAAGGCCACAGTTTCTCCCGACCCGAAGGCCCGACCCGAAGGCCACAATTTATCTCGACCCGAAGGCCCGACCCGAAGGCCACCGTTTATTCCGACCCGAAGGCCCGACCCGAAGGCCACCGTTTATCTCGACCCGAAGGCCCGACCCGAAAGGCCACGGTTTATCTCGACCCGAAGGCCCGACCCGAAGGCCACGGTTTATCTCGACCCGAAGGCCCGACCCGAAGGCCACCGTTTATTCCGACCCGAAGGCCCGACCCGAAGGCCACGGTTTATCTCGACCCGAAGGCCCGACCCGAAGGCCACCGTTTATCTCGACCCGAAGGCCCGACCCGAAGGCCACGGTTTATCTCAACCCGAAGGCCCGACCCGAAGGCCAACAGTTTGATAGAACGACCCGTAGGCCCTTAGGTGATCACACAACTCATTATTATCTGAACCCAGCGTAAAACGCTTCAGGGTATTTTAGGTGATCACAATGCACATGTCACTCGAGCACACTTGTAAATGCGCATGCCGTGCCAATGCTCGTGATGCAAACTCATGGCCATAAACTTCACACTCGGGCATTCACAATTTCACGATGGATATTCAATAGCACAACGCCAATTAATTAATTCACAGTGCACCATGTCCAATCAACATTTCAATATGCCCAACCCACATATTAGCACGACCATGAAATTCAATTCAAGCACTCATGCACGGTACACAATTCACGCGTATAAATCACACAATCAGATCAGCATGAATCCACAGAAATTGAGGCCCATCACATTACTCCCTTCCTGATAGCATTAGGCACATGTCATGGTACTACAAAATCACTCGCATTTAGGGACAATTCAACTACTAGTTCGGTCAATCCATCATTTCCGGCACTTACACTCCAAACCTCAATTCAATCGCGCCTTGTCCGACTAATTTCCAAAGTGGACAGCCACTAAATCAATTGCGCCGGGCCATTTAATGACCTCAAAATGTTCCACTAAACTCCCCAAGACACCATTTTAATCAGCCACCATAATGCCAAATAAGATGCGCACTAGAATCCACATTTTAAACCCGAAACTTCCCAAACTTGGGCTAATCCGATCCAAATCTGTCCAGCCAATACTCGGCGCTTCTCAAGCTACTAAACCTCCATTTATTTATCGCACTAAGCCCGTAGAACAGCCACCAAAACAGCCACCACCCGGTCTATCAATTTCATCCACTAAGTTCGCCATTTTGTCTAAATCTCGGCACCCATGCTTCGCCACATCACAGCACTATACGGGCCGCTAAACCTCGAATAAAACATTACGCTAAGCCACCAAATACGCCACAACATCCGCTCTTAACAGCCTTTGCAAACTAACCCCCAAATTGATCGTGCCTTATCCAATTCAAATCCGATAAGGACAGCCACCAACAGGTCGCTCTAGGCCACTAATTATCCTCAAAACGCTCCATTTGACTCTCCAAAATAACACCCAAATCCGTCACCACGTGGACCAAACTAGGCGCGCTCTATAATCCCCAATTGAACCCGAATTAATCCGAACTCGGGCCTATTCAATCCAAATCTGTCCAGCCCATATATCGCGCCTTTCGGGCTACTAATTCTCCATTAGTTCATCATACTAATCCACCAAATCAACCACAATCACAACCCCTAATCACCTCCACCATTTAATCCCCAAATTGCCCTAATTAACCCGTAAAACCCGTTTAGAAATGCAAATTATCCTAATTAGGGTTTAGGGTCAAACTCACCGGGTGTCCTAAGCTTGAAACGGGCCAAACACGCGACGAAAAAGGGCTGGGCAGCGGCGATCCCTCGCGGAACAGAACGGCGGTGGCGGCCGGCGAACGGCGCGAGCGGCGCGGCGACGGCCTAAGCTAATCCACGGCCTAGAGAGGGAGAGAGAGGCACGGTCGAGAGAGAGAGAGAGAGGGAAATGGAACGGCTGGACGGCCGGGCGAGGCGACGGGTCCGCGCCGGAACAGTGGATCGGTAGCGGCGGAGCTCCTTCGGCTCAAGGCCTCTCACGGCCAAACCGAGAGAGAGAGAGAGAGAGAGAGAGAGAGAGAGAGAAAAGGAGAGGGGCTTGCCGGCTGCTTGGGAGAGACAAGGCGGCGACCAGCGGCACCGGAGGCGGCGACGGCGACAGCGGGCCAGCCGGCGAGCCGGCGAGCTGCACGGTGAGGCTGCGGGCGCGTCGCGAGCTTGCTGGCCGGGCGACGACCACGACGGCTCGGGCCGGGCGGCGCACGCGCGCGCGGCGGCGAGCGGGCGACGGAGCGGGGCGAGGCGGCCGGCCGGCAGCAAGGAGAAGAAGCAAGCGGCGTCGGGCGAAGGGGGTAAGAGCGGGAACCGGTCGGGGTCGTGGGGAGGAAGAAGGAAGAGAAGAGAGAAGAGAGAGAAGAAAAAAGAGAAAAGAAAAAGGAGGAGAGAGAGAGGGAGTGGGTGAGTGGTCTGACTTGCAGAGGGGAAAACGTGACCGGAGGGGGGGAGAACGTGCGCGGTCAGAGGAAAAAAGAGAGAGAAGATGAAAATAAAAGAAAATATTTGAACATTCAAATATTATTTGCAATCCGATGGCCCAAATTAAAAACCGAAAATGGTCTACCGGTCCAAAATAAGCCTCGCACATAAAAAGGGACAAAGGCCAAATTAATTAGACCAAACTATAACGAGGGAGGTCTACTAGTCCAAATTCGCACGTGGTCAAAAACTCCACTTTTTCCATCATTCATGACAATCTCAACGTTGGCTACCACAATATTGACACCGTCCAATTTATTTTGTCCCGAAACTCCCGGAAATCGACTGCCAAGTTCGGGATCCAAATAACGGCCAAATTTGATCGAGTGCGATTCTAGCGAAATCTCTAATTTAAAATGATAACCGGGAGTGATCAGTTCCCGGGCGAGATTTTACTATAAGCACACTGACAAATTACGCGTTTTATAAATCCCAAAAATGGGCCGAAATTCGGGATGTTACACGGATTTCGATGTCGAATTTCGATGGCTTAAGAGACTATTCTTGGAAATCTGACGTCATATTATGCTGGCCACGCATATTTTGAGTTAATACAATTAAAAATTTGAATTTCGGTCCGGGGGTGAAAAAATTACGATTTTGCCCCTCGGGACGCCAGCGTTGCTTTTCGAGGCCAAATGAGGTTATTTTTCGAGGCCGACACCATTTTTGGGTGGCCACGCATACCAAGAGTCGTTTTGGACAAAAATTGGAATTTCGACAAAAATTGAAAAAATAATATTATTTTATTCCCGGAACTTCGCAGTCGATTTTCGAGCGCTTAGAAAGTGAATTTCGCGATTCCAACGCCATATTATGTTGGCCACGCACATATGGAACATGTATGTGCAAAAATTGGAATTTCGCCCCGGGAC